AATAAAAGACACGTCTTGCAAGTTCAATAGAACCACTTCACTGAAAACACCATGTCAGATGAATGCGTTAGCCAGCTAAGTACCTTCACTGTAACATTACTCTCTCTTTTCGAAGGTTTTCAAATCTAAAGTCACCATGGAGACCATAAAACAGAACAAAAAATGCATCTCACTTTACTGCTCAGTTACTAGATTAACTCACACGATTATTAAAATGAGAGTTGAAAACAGCATAAGTTATTTCTTCCATTAGCATTAGGCTGTCTGTGTATCTGGGGACTAGAGTAGGTTTTTTTTTCTTTTGGAGTTTGCTAAAATCATTAGAAAAAAACTTTCCTACAGACAGCTTAGAACACTAAAGAATTCTCAAATGTTTCTGCCTTTTTTTTTTTAAACTGAATCATAAACAGTTGTAACAAGATGATAAGAGGTTGTTTTCTGGTTTATACACACGCTCCTTGGAGAAAAGCTGTGACAAGATTTAACGTGGGCTAATCAAGGTTTTGAAAGATTTAACATGGGCTAATCAAAGTCTCGAAAACTTGGCAGCCTCCGATGTAAGCCCTGCACACCACATACTGAGATGCAGCACAAGTGCTTCCCAGAAATTCCTAATCTAGGAACGGAACACACCTACTTCCCTTTCTACTTTTTCCAGTGGCTTTTCATTGTTGCAGCAGCATTTGATGGGAGGCCCACTTTTCTTCCTCACCTAATCATTTCTCATGATGATTCTCTCTCCAAGTTATTACATTCTGTGAAGAGTACACGGCCATCAAATGAATGAACAATAGGACCAATTTTCAAAATTACTACTATACACTTATTGGAACATTTTTCTTAGAAGCCAAATATTTTGAGTATTGGCATTAAGGGAAGAATTAAATATACTAATTATGGGGTTTAATATGATGGTGGAACCAAGTTTAAGTTCACATGACTATGTTAAACAGAAAGTCATATTCTAAAGCTCAACTCTCTTCCCTTGTAGTTTAATGATGATTGATAACTATGAGACTATCCACTAACTGACAGGCCTTAAATGGTGTCTCAAATCAGGAAATACCCAATTCTGTACGCATTTTACTTTTATGTCCCATCTTTGGCCTTTTCATCCACACTCACAACTTGAACACCATCCGGAATATGATGAATCACAAATATTTAATTTCTAGCTCTAATTTTTCCCTCAACGTCAGACCCATATTGCTAACTCTCCTGGACACCACCACTTAGATATCTTGTAAGTACTTCAAACTCTATTTGTTTAATCCAAAGTAATTAACTTTCTTTTCCTGCCTACCTTATAATTATCGCAGTGGTAAAACCCAGTCGCCTTTGAAATCCTTCCTTTCTATCCTCATTCCCTACCTCAAATCTATTATACCAAGTTGTATTGATTTGGCCACTTAAACACTGCTTAAATCTGTCTCCTCCTTTCCATCCCTGGGGCCAGTGGCTTAGCTTGAGACCCTAATTACGGCATTTTACACATTTATTATATAAGGTACAAGTTTGGACTTGTAATCTTAAGGTGCTTTCCACAAAGCAGGGACTTATATTTACCTTGCTCATCCTTTGCACTCTAGTACCTAAGACACAATAGGTACTTAATGCTTGCTTGTTAAATAAATTTTCACTGGACTAATAAGAGTCTAGGGGTTGAAGTGTGAAGACGACACCAAGTTCTTTTCTTATTTCTGTATAGCATTTTACATCGAAAGAGCCCTTACGTATTGCCTTCTTTCACTCTCACAAATCCTTAAGACAGATATAAAAAGTGTCTTTAGCTCTGTTTTGCCAATAAAGGAACTGAAGCTCTGAGAAGTTAAATGCAACTATCACACAGCTAGTAAATGGTTGGGGAGGATCATCCTAACTCTGACCTCAGCGCTCTTTCTACTACTAGGTAGGTTTGTATTTTCACAGGATAGTAAGTTCCCTCTCTGTGATATGGCTCAGAGAGAGGCTGATCAAGATTTGGTGGGGAGGATATTGAGACATCAAATAGAACACTGGACTGGATGACTTTTAGTAAGATTCCTTTCAGTTTTGACTAAGTTAGCCCTGGGCATGATTGTGAAGTAGGCAAAGCTGGTCTCCAGGATCTCTCTCGAGCATCACCCTCTCTCCCTTCGGACACTGTTCTCCAGTGCAGCATTCTAGCCCTTGACTGACCATTGCATTTCTTAAGCTTGATCTGTCATCCAAGGGGTAGCACCAAGCCTTCAAGGCCTTTTCCAACTCTTTTTCTAGCTTCAGAAATCATTCTGTTTTACCTGTGAAGTGTTCTTGCCAAAAAAGTTAAAACTGCATTGAATCAAGTCTTGAGAGCCAACTTTCTATTTAGAGGAAATATCGGGGAGAAAGAACTTAATGTTAATTGACACTGCAAAAAAACAAACAGGTAAATCTAGAACAATGGATATTTTACAGGACAACTGATCTGATGTCTACAAGTTACTAATGGGGTAAAAAAAAAACAAAAAAGGGAGAAAGAACTGCTCTAGAATTAGAGACTTAGGAGACAGAACAACTAAATTTGATGTAAAGACTCTGGATCCTAATTTATACAAACCAACTTAAAACCGGGGGGGGGGGGCGGGGGGGGGCATTTTTAAGCCAACAAGATATGCCATGAACTGGTAATTGCCGATACCAAAGAATTACTGTTAATTGTGTTGAATGTACCATCAGCATTAAAGTTATGCAATGAAATGTCCAACAACTTTAGATGCATACTAAAGTACATAGCAATGAAATGACATCATCTGGGATTTGTTTTTAAAATACTTCAAAAAGAAAAAAAAAAGGTAGATGAAGTAAAGGTAGTAAATCTTGATAATTACTGAATCTGGGTGTTGGGTATATGGAGGTTCCTTATACCAGTTTCTTTATTTTGGGATACATTTGAAAACTATCAGAATGAAAAACTGTTTTCTGAATTCCTTCTTCCAAGAGCCCTGCCTACAAAAGAAGTAATTAGAATTAATGACTTTTAACTACTAATTTTTGCTAAGGTGTACTAATGTTTCACCCCCTCCTACATTATTTTAAAGGTTCCAATTTCCAGAAGAATGTCACAGAGTGATGACCCTAGTTGGGATTTCTGGCAACACAAGAAAGAAGTGACACGTTCAGGCTTGGTTTTTTGTTTGTTTTGACTCTTGTGAATTTGTTTTTAGTGGGGTGTGGGGATGGGTTGGGTTGTTGGGGAATGTCACTGTGGATTATGCCCCACCAGGGAACGCCCATTCTAATCTTCCTGGGATAGCTTGGGTTTGCTTTTCGTGCAGTTTCTGCCATTACTTCTGCCTTTACCAAGAAAACCCCTAAGCCATTTTTAGCCACGAGATCTTGGTTAGATATGCCGATGACTCAAGCTGACTCTGTACGTTCCAGTGCTAACCAAGCTTGGGCTTGTGGGCAACTAGGTAGAGCTACAGAAGTCCTGAAGAAACAAGGCTAGAACCGAGTAGGAAGAAAGGCTACATAGCACGACCCCTCACTGTTGGATCCATCTTCAACCTGTGCTTGGCCAGATGGCACATCTTCATAAATCGACGTGACATGCTTTTTGGTGAAGAAATTTCCCAGTGCCACACAGACTTTTTTTAAGGAGTTGAACTAAACTTAGGCAAATGTCCTAAACTGTCAGCCTACTACTGAGAACATACTGCTTATCAAGTCAGCTTCCCAGCAAGAGTCCATATCATTGAATCTTTGATGATAACAAGATATTTCCTATAACCCAGAAGCTGCAGGCAAGTGCTTGAGAGCTTTTATAGAGGATAAAGAAGATGTGACGCTGGCTTCTTTGGAAGGGTGGACGAAAGAGCAAGATGGAAGGTGCACGGAGGTAGGACTGCTGATAGAGATGGTGGAACGTTCGGACTGTTCATTCTTTATGACGGCTTCTCCAGAGTTAAGGAAACAGTTTGCAGCAAAAACAGAAAGAGTGAAGTAAGAAACTAGCTACCTCTCTGAGCACATAGGTAAGTCTAGAAAGGAAGGGGGACCACGGCAAGCAAACAACATAAAGAGATCCAAAATTTCAAACGATAAAGACACCACTTTAAAAATACAAAGTGAATTTTTCAGCCCTCTTTCAAGGTTCCAGCAGAGAGAATATCTCTTCTGGAAGGAACAAAAGTACAAAGAGATGAAATTGAAAGGGTATGAGAGTTTTACCAGAACAAGTGCAATGCAAAGAAATGATTCCAAATACATCATAGTATTCCATATTTTCTCCAACCAAATCAAGGAAATCTGCCTCTTCTACATCCTATCGCATTAAAGAGCTTTAACGTAGGTAAACATTTTTAAAACTAAATCTTCTGCTAATTATTTCATAAAGGTCCAATGATGTCCCTAGTTGAAATTATTCCACAGTAAAGGTTAGGGGTAGGGAGTGTTATGTGAATCTGATGGAAAGATAGAGACAATAAGAAAGGAATAAAGTTTATTTTAAAGAAAGGCTTTTATGCTACTAGAGAAGATCAAAGTGGCAAAATGTACCTTCAGAGTAGTGATCTTATTTGGCTGCAGGAAGGGTGCAAGGAGACAGGAATAGTGTCTCTTGCTCTGCTGTGACAGACTACCACCGCAGGGATTAACAGAAGGAAAAAATATCATTTGAAACCGAACTTTCCATCTAAGAGAGGGAAAAAGTATATAAAAGCTTTTGGATCTGTGTCAAGGGAGCGAATGATATTTTAAAAGTCTGGCAGGAAACCAAAGAGCTACACCCACACACAAAGCTTAACTGCTTCCAGCACACTAACTAGACCACATATTTCCCCAGCTGGGAAGCACTGGCAGAGTTTGGAAATTCTCAGAAGGGTGGGGCCGCCTCGCCATACTCTTAGTAACATTCCCAGATGAGGGTGGAGGGACTTGACTATATTGTGAAGAAATTTTCACCTTTGGTGTTAGTCAAAGGACCCCTGGGCAAGGTGAGAAACGAACAAAAAGCGAAATTACAGTGAGGAATGGTTTACCTTCGGAGAGCAGTTGAAATGCATACCGGGTACTGGGAGTGTAGTTACATACATTGTAATACACCGATACAGGTACAGCGTGCCAACTATGCAGAAAAATCTTCTGCTAATAATAGACCTAGAAAAAGGGAAAAACAGGGCAGACACTCAGTCATGAAATTCCACAGCCTCATTTATGTTAAGTTTTTAATGACCCAACCAACCAGCCAAACCCAAAAAACTACTTGACAGCTTGAAATCAGAATAACTAGCTAGTAGCAGTTTAAGGTGAGGATTTTGAGAATGATGTTGTGGGCTTTTTTTTAATATTAACTGGCCAAAAGAGTTTAAAATGCTCCATATTGCTATGAATTAGGCTTTGTGAAGCCTTAAACCTGAGTTGACATTCAACTGATGTACAAGTGGGGCCCATTCTGATCAGTCAGAGCCCACTCAGTACCTGTGGTTAAACATTTAGAGAGAGTCTTTTCTATCACAAAAGGGAAGATATTCAGAAAACTAGAATGACATTAAAATAAGAATTCAAAACTTTTCTGACATTTAATGAGCCAACATTAAACAATTTTACCTGTACATCGTAGAAACTGATTCTCCTAGCTCATCTCTGAGGAAGCAGGATGCCAAGAAAAAGACCCGTCTGAATGATAGCATCTGACCCCCATCTCCCTCTCTGCTTACTAACTATGTGACCTTGGGATAGGCTACTGACATCTCTGAGTCTCAGTTTCCTAATCTGTAAACCAGGCATAATAACATTAGAAATAATGTATGGAAAATCCCTGCCACGCATGCACAATGGTAGCCATCAAATGTATAAGTTAAATGGATGAATAAGAAAATAAGGAAGAATTAGAAATAGAAATATTTTCCATTTCAAGTTGATTAGTGATTCTAATGAAATTATTTGATATATACACGGGAACACGTACATTGAGTTTGATAACTTCTCCTAATAACAAAATCCACATAGGTATACTTTAATTATGTTGCACAAACTTCTGTGTATCTTTAGACAAGAACGTTCCTTCCCTCTCTACTTCTATCCTTCTCTACCACAGGCCAGAATCACAGTCCTGTAGTTCTCCTCTTTCTTGACTTGGGGACTTCAAGTTTTTCCTTGGCTTGGGGCAACCTGAGTTAAATATACAAAAACATTTATGTACACTGAACACTGAGAATATTGAACATTTGGATCACTCTATAACTGTGTAGCATCGCTCTATTTTTATGCAGGATAGATATTTCTACTGAAGTGTGATAGTTGGAGGAGAATTTGTATCATTTGTATCTTTTAACAAGAGGAACAAAGTGATATGTCACTTGTGTGATTAAAAATTAATTTAAAAAATAACCCATACAACTGTATTAGCATTTCATTCATAACTGCACAGTTCACGTAAGTTACTTAGGTCGTATGGGTAGCGTCTGGGTGTTTTGTCTCCTTACCCAGATTTCAGAAACTAGGTCAGAATTGTTTACTACAGAGGCCATCTTATTTCCTCTTAGTAATGCTCTGTATGTGACCTCCAAAGATGAGAATTTATTCAGCACAAAGCTGTCTTGTAAAGGTACATGCCTGTAATTTTAAGTAGGACGAAAGCACAATGAAACTATATAAAGAGGGACAATACTAGAGAATAATACTAACTTATGAATATCTTAACAAGAATACTTGAAATACCAAAGTGAATTTTATATTGTAAGACGTTAACAGCCATCTTTCTTAAAAAGAAAATGCCCTCTCTAGCCATCCTGCTCAAACAAACAGAAATTACCTGCAATTTCACTTGAACTATACAAGAAACATCTAAGACAGAAAATTGTTAAGTCTAGACCTGTTCATCTCTTTAGAGAAAGAAAAAGAAAATGACTACCATCACTCAACTTTGGTAAAGAATACTATCTTAAAATCACTTTGCTGGATTGTTTTATGGTACACAAAAGACACCCCCCCCCAATAACTATTTCCATATCTCAAACTTGAGTCACATATGAGTAGCAGCGAAAGGATTTCATTATTATCTGAGAATGAGGTGTGTGAAAAAATGATCAAAGATGAGAAAAAATAAATCCTTTTACAAAAAATATTTTAAAAGTAACAAACATTGAAGATTCAGTCACATTTACTATTTGATTTGAAGTGAAAAAGGCAAATGACTTTATCCATGTGAATTTGTCAACGTTAACAAGCTGACAAGCTGGAAGTGGCTGTTTATAAGAATCTTCTGATCTTTGGCATTTACTTAATCTTTTTGAAATTAAGCTTAGATTATCTTCAGTGTGTAATGTTAAACAAGGATCTCCTACCTTAAACTTTAAAAAGCAGGATATAAAAGTGTTTCAAAGAATTATATGCACTTAAAGTATTTATTTCCTTAATCAAAGAATTTCACACATTAGAATTATTACTTACTTAAAGGTTTAAAAGTTCAAGATGTGCTTTTTAAAAAAGGTTTAAAATGGTTAAAAATGTAACAACCACCAAAAAGCCACAGAAGAAATGCTAATGAGATATTACTAGAGATGAAGTGAACACCAAGAATAAGATGCAAGTTATAATTCTCAAAAGCACAATGGTGTTCTGATCTGGGATATATCTCTCCTTTCATGTTGGAAAGAAGCCTGTTTCCCAGCTGCTCACCCTTTGCCATGCCTATCACCTCACAGACACTTGTATCTGGTCATGGTTATCTATTCTTCTCCCAAGTATTTGAGTAATTGGCTAATTACTACTTTTTCTGAGAAAAAGAAAAACATACTTGTTAAATTCGGTTATTAGAAAATATGAATAAAGTGTTAATATTTTATATATAATTATTAAGACTGGCTACAATAGCATGCTATATCCAGTAGAGGTGACTTTATTAAACTCTTTAATATCCCTATTTAAAAAGGAAAAAGAACCTATCAAAATTAGGCTTAAAATAGCAGCACTACATTGTTTTTGATATTTGGTACAATGGTCTAAAATTCTAAAGGAAAAATGGTGAAAGAAAGTAATATACTAGAAATTAAAATTAAAACACTGGAAAATTCTTTTGTTATCTCTTTCAACTAATCTATCGCCAGAAGACATACACAATTCATTCAGTGCTCAGAACTGGCCTGCAAGCTCTTTATGGAAGCTATTGGCTTTTAGAAACAAACAGGTCCCGAAACACAGCAGCAGAACCAAGCAAAAATCCAAAACTCAGAGGTAATAAACAAGTGGGAGAGCACACCTGACGGTAACACAGAATCAGGGAGGCCCACATCTCTGGAGCAATCGTTGAGGCCAGTGATGATAGCTTTGCCAGAAAATCTCTTTCCCTGGCCTCTCCCATTATGCTGTCTGCTATAATCCTAGCCATTCATCTCAAATACCACCTCTAGGTGAAGCCTTCCAGATGTCCCCCACTGGACAGACTCACTTCATCCTCCAAATCACTTCAGAACTTTGTTTCTATTTTATGGTATTTTTAATAGTGAGATTGGCAACATCATTACCAACAAAAGGTCTCATACCAACAAAGGGTCTCATCCCCTCTATGACAGGAAGCTCTTAAACAAAGATATGCCTTACTCATCTTTTAGTCCCAGTGGACTTATGACGGTTCCTATAATACTGGCAACACCATTCAGTTCTATGCTCTAGAGCTTCACTTCTTACTCCCTCTGATAGTCCTTTCCTGCTTCTTTCCACAAATGTTTGTCCTTTAAAGCCTTTCATACATCTGCCAGAATTAACCTACCCTGATGTTCACCAATCCTTCACTTTGCATCCTTTCTGCACTTACATTTTAATTTACAACCCTTGCTCCATTCATCCAAGTAGGGCTGTAAACCCATGGAGATTGGGAACTGTGAGTTCTGCCGCCTTTTTCCCTTCCCTCCCCTGTCTCCTCATTGCCACGTATGGGATTTCTACCCATCAAAGGAGTCTCAACTGCTCCAAGACAGTGGATCATGAAAACCAAGGGCTTAATTCAGTACTTTAGGGAAGAAAATTCCACAGAAAGGTTAGTAAAACAAACGAAACGGAAAGAATGAATGCTGTAGAACAAATAGAAAAGTAAAAATCTACACTCTCATGGGAGATTTATAACTCACTTAATGTATTGTGGGTACCCACACAAGGTGGATGGCACGGTTTGTGAATTAGGAGAATGAGACATACCCATGCACCCAGCCCAGAACTGTGTCTGTACATGCACAGTGCCTTTTTCCCTTTTTAAAATCCAACTCAAAGAGATTTTACATCTTTAGTATTAATTATTTTAACCACATTCCTGTTTAGCATATATTATTATCCCATTTTACAGAAGAAAAAACTAAAATATAAAGAATTTAAGTAGTAGCCTGGGGCCACAGAGTCAGTCAACAAGAGAGCCACAACAAAACCCTGGTCTCCAAGCTTTCAAGTAGCTGCTCTTTTCACTAATAAAACTGTCAAGTTAAAAAGGGGTGGGGGGGGAGGTGGGAGCAGTGGCTCAGATTTTTTTTCTTAGCCCCATGTAAAGATCTGCAATATAATGCAACAGTTGATTAAGTTCAGGAAATGAACCGTACTGGTTTAGGGAATTTGCAAAGAACAGATTGCATTATAAAACTGTCACTGCTCAACCCACCTTTTAAAAAAATATTATTTCCTGGGTTAAATATAGATTGTAACATAAAGTAAAAAAAAAACATTACTCTATAAGATATGAAAGACATCAATATGATACACTTGAGACACTTATGAAGAGTTAAAAATCAATTATTCTCCAGAAACTGCTACATACATATGTACAAAACAAAAAGTTACATTTCTTGTTGGTACTTTAGGCTATTAACAAAAATATATGTATATATGTATGTATATATATACACACGTGTGTATAAACATGTATGTGTATATATATATACAAGTATGCATATGTATATATATATAATGCAAATACACATAGGTATACCCAGATCTTTCCTCATTCCTTCTCTCCATCAAAACTTACCCACCTTAAATCACATTCTTAGGGGCTTGTTCAGCCACAGCTGGTGGAACTTAATGATTAGTTTTGCTCTTAGGCTAATGGATTACCCTTAAAAGTAACACACTCTCATTTTAACAGGGGGTTTCTAAAAACATAATAAGCACAT